TCAGAGGAATCAATCAGTACCATCTCTAGAAACTTAACTCCAAGAGAGAAAAGTATTTGTTCCTTCACATCAACCATATTAGACCTTTTAATATATGTTATATTATTTTCAGCTGTCTGCCAACCAGCTGAGGGCCACACATGAAGACTCCACCTACCAGAGCCTGAATCCAGCCGGCATGGACCAGGACCAAATCTACTCCACTCTCAACTAGATGATTGATTGATGGCTAGTTGTTCCCAGTCTTTGTGCTAAGCTAAGCTAACCACATCCCAACTCCAGACACACACACAGGTCTGAATCAACTCAGGAAGTTTGCTCGGATTTCATCACGAGACCAAAGTATGGATCAGTGATGAAATCTGTGCAACTATATGACAACCAGTGTATTTGTGCAAAGGTGTATGAGAGCTTTGCTTTTTTTTCCTCTTTCTTCTCCCACTGATGATGTTTGGAGCTTTATCTGCTGTCCCTCTTCATAAAACTGCATGTAGAGTATTTGAAACCTGCAGCAGCTACAACTGTAACATGCTGCTGGCACACTTGAACTAATGTTGTATATAACACATCAGTCAGAGGGACCAAACCAGGACTGTTGCTGCAATGCTTGAACAGCACTTTGTAGATTTTTATTTTTATTTTTTTTCTTTAAGTAGGATTGGTCATGCAGGACCTTTACTGTACTGAAAACTTGGAGCAAGGTAATAAAGACATTTTTAGTATGCAATGTGCAAAGTATACAGTAGATAGAAAAATAAAACAAACAGTGAGCTGCCTGTTTCCAGTGTGTATAACAATACTTGCATATCTAAAAAATCTCAACATGAAATAGACATAAACAATCTTATTTATGTGGTTGATGTTTAATTGACAGTTACCACATCACAAATTCTGATTTCAGCATTAAATGCAAACAAAAGCAAAATGACCAGAGAGACAAACTGATCAAAACTGACCACAAACACACACAAAAAAAAACCCCAACAGACACAAAAATACCATGAAGAGACACAAGATGACCACAAGGAGGCGCAAAAGGACTGACTGGCTAAACAGTGACTTACAGTTCATGGTATTAGAGCGGCGTTTGTCTGTAAAATAAAACCTGCTCAGATCTGTTTCACTCCAAAAAACAGCCTCTTTCAGCAGAAATAACTTTATTAAGTGTTGCTACTTCACACACACTGCTTCCATCATCTAAGTCCCTTTAATTGTGTCTCTTTAAAGTTTGAGCTGCCAAAATGCCCCATTTTTATTCACCCAACCGAGTAACAAACATATCTAGCATCTTAAGTGTTGTGTTCAGTTTATGTTTGTTGTTATTATTTACAGAATGAGCTGCTGAGGCATTCAGGTGTGTTTTCAAATATGTTAATTAGTTCCTCAGATTTCCACTGGGTGGCAGCAGCATCTCACTGAACTACATGTTCCCTCTTTTTAAATTCCTGTTGGCCTCATATGTGTGCATTCAATCCGGATTATGTAGGTAATATTTGGGAAAGGGCTGATTTAAAGTATGCTTTCGTTAATTATTCATGCATCATTAATGGCATGATTATGTGTAAAGGTCTTACTCTGAGAATCTTCCTGAATGTTTTATTGCATTAATGCGCTCCTTCAAATGAATGTTAATGACAGTGTTGCTCTGCTCCAATGAAAATCATTTGTAAGTATTTCAGTGTTGCGCTACAATAATCTTCTCCACTGCTTCATTTCAAGGAACAATAGTTTATTTTTTTATTTTTCAACCACACCGCAGATTTTGCACATAACTGTGATGCAGGAATAAATGAATAAATAAAATAAATTAATTAAAACAGCCTCACTTTCGCCTGCTTTCTGCTGAACTTTGATGGATTTATCTTGATTTTGTTGAATAGTGATTGTGTTACGTGCAGAGTGGAGGATTTGTGTGTGTGTGTGTGCATGTGTCTCCCTCTCACCTCTCTCCTACAGGTAATTATTGGAAGATGGGCA